AAACTGGACATATTTTAGATAATTATATTATACATGCCATGAATTTTTGAATATCTCATATTATTGACCTTATTACAGTGTTTTTCAAACAGAACTGTGTAAAGAAACAGAATTGTAAAATTACTAAAAATAGGTATTAAATGCATTTGAGGTGTATGCCTGAGCTGGGGATGGGGGGCGTTGCATGTGTTGAGAGGAGAGGGTGATGACAGCCAGGAAACAGGACATCAGTGTTAAAACGTTCAATCAAGCTTTTGGTGTCTCCTGAGGGAGCTGTTTGGAGTCAACCTCCTTAAATACCACTCGGGTCAGCGCCCATGTGGCTGACCGCTCCACTACTCCTCATCTACTAAAAAACAAACCTAATTCTCTACGTATCCATCAAGGATCCAGTTCCATCATGGGTAATGCAGGCCCTGGTTTAGACAAGGAAGAAGAATTGACATAATGAAAAAGACATACTGCAGATTAAATTATATTTTCTTAATTTCTAGTGAACCTCTAGGCTTAAACACTAAATGAGAAGAAGCAGTCATACGTCAAACACTCAGTGTTGCCATGGTGGCGACTCAACACAAGCTCTTCCGTCCTGCATAACATTGTGGCTCCTTTTGTCTGTTCATAACTGACATTAAATCCTCTTTTCATATTGATCATCACTACTGGAATACACGCTGGACGCTTCCTGGATTTCCTTACTTGGATACTAAAACACAATCAATTCACTCAAGCTGATAAAAGCCACAGCATTTCCACAAGTTGAGTAACTTCCCAGTTTGGGAAGTCCATCATGTCTCGGCTGCCGCTCGGCCCGAAGGCGTTGATTCTGTGCCATCGACAGAAGCGCGTCACAGGGAGGCACGCTGGCTGATGATGAGCTGCCCGCCAGACGCCCGGGCTCCTCCGCTGCTCCGTCATTAAAGATGGATGCACTCATTTCACGGAGGTGTCAGTTCTCTGTCTGAAGCCAGTGGATCGCAGTTTCCGGGGCTGCATCTGTACTACTTTAACATAACTGTACCTAATTTAGCAATAACATGATGTGGCGCGTTACGACGTTTTGTACGACGACCTGCGGTGAAGACGAGAGTCAGAGCCTCAGATACTTTAACCTGGACTCTTCCGCTGAGGCTACTTTCTCACATCACATATCACAGCATTTTATTTATTGTTGTATATTATAAGGGGCAGTCCGGTGTCGACGGTTTACATTTTTATATAGTGCCAGAACACAACAGAATCCAGTTAAGGCTACCCTTCCTACAACAGGTCTATATACCTTCTTCTTCTACTAAACAGACTAAATATCTTATGTTATTCATCCTATCAGCACAACGGCATGTCATTTCTGTCTCTACGTGGTGGACACGTCTCACACACCGGATGTGTCTCCCGTGACTGAGAGTAGAACTCACAGAGAAGGAGATTGCAGGTTTTTTATGACACGTCCTGCTTTTTCTGTGTGCGACACGTCATTGCAATAAAACTACAACAGGTTCCACCTGCACTGTGTGGACTTTGTGCCCCCACAGAGTCCTTACACCTTCTCAGACTCTATATTACTCATCCTTTATTCATTTATTAAGGATGACGGTGTTATATTTCCAATGGAACTGTTATTCCACGCCTGGACTCGTTTCAACGGGTTTGAGCTGCCTCACCAAAGGGCTAAAGTTACTTTCAGTATATGGAACCGACGATTCTGACCCGGGTCAGAAGGGGTGCCATAGCTGAACTCCAAACCTTCTGAACAACACAAAGGAGGGAAGATGAGATGAGATGAAGCAGAGTTGGGAGACAAAGATTTTTCAGGTGGTCCCTCTACGCTTTGACGCTTGATAGAGACGCATGCATCTACGGAGAAGTAGACCAGTAGATAAATGGTGCATCATAGTATGACTGACTTTTAAGTTCTGTTTCAACAAAAACACACAAAGGTATTTTTGATAATGTGATGAGCATTTTTATCTTCTGGTCCCGGCGTCAAATGCAAGGATGTTGTGATATTTCAGTTTTCATTCATTGTTAACTGAATACGTTGGCATTTCAAACTGTTTAAAAAAAGACATTTGAAGGGGGGGAAATTCCTCCATTCTTTTCTTTTGGCATTTTTGGACGTATCCAAAACTAGACTAAACAACTGGTGAATCCCCAAACAACATCTAGCTGACTAAGCTAATAAACATAGTAAAAAGTTGCGTTCCCATTGCCCCCTTTCTAATAGCACTGGGAAAACAGTCAGATATGGTTGAAAAATAAACAGGAAGGTTTCTTCCCCTCCCTTTTATCTACTGCTGGCATCATCCCCAGTTTCTCTATATTTCCACTTCAGGAAACAGGTGAAATACCAAACAATATTTGTGGTCATGACATACAAAAAAAAAGTTTTGTTTGCTTTTTCTGGTTGTTATTGTCCGACCGTTTCTCAGTGAGTTTTGCAGAAGCAGGAAACTGGCCGAATGTTCAACGAGAACAACCCTCAGAACACACACTCATATTACGTTTGAGTCTCTCAGCTCAACGCCTTGTCTGCAAAGGTAAAAGGCCTGTACTTCATTTGGGTTCCGATTAAAGACCAGTAGAGGAATATCAGAGGGGATCCATCAGGTCTCGTGAAACCGGTTGTGAAAGCGAAACTGCAGGTCTGCTGTTACACACATGGAGACACAACAACCACAATGACCCTGAGAAGCACAGAGTCGCACACAAACAGGAAGTGACAGGTTGACATTTAGCTGGTGCACACAGGAATCTCTCCACGGCATGACTGACGTACAGTGGTGTAGTCTAACTGATACGCCGTATGCCCACTGGGGAAAACGCGCCGATACGTAACAACGCCGCAGTGACAGAACGTTCTGTCATTCCTAAATTCACCCCGTCTGAAGGCTGTCACGCCAAAACTATAGCGATCCTCGCTTACTGACAGACGCATTGTCCTAACTAACGGACACCCCCCCCCCCCTCCCTCCCTCCCGTCAACCGGCCGGGCCCTTTTCCCCCCTCACTCGCTCTGGGACTGGGGAAAATCACAGTATACCCACTACAGAAGTATAGACTGCTGATGTAACCCACATTTCCCTGGGACACGGGCCCTCGTGCTCACCGTGACCAGTGATGTAACTCGTCCGGGAGCCGTACCGGTCGCCCTCTTGGTGAGACTTCCAGTGATGCAGCGTTCTGATGATGTTACTGAGTAATACATTTGAGTTAGTTTATGTTGCCGTCAGGCTCTGTTCAGTGGAAGTGAGCCTTTGGGCAAAGGTCAGTAATAACTTAAGTTAAAATTAATCGGGTTAATTAGTTTTTTCTTCTGAAGACTAAATTGTATAAATTGTTTAAGTCAACTACCGTCTGTCTCTCCGATCTAAGTGATTGCAGCACGCGGCGGTTTCAGAGTTCAGGGGTCAACGCACACCGGCCGTAAACAAACTGTTTAACTGCTTAAAATATTTTATTGCATTCCAATATGGATCATCAATGATCATTAAATAATTCCATCCGGCTGTTTACAGCCACACCGTAAACCTTGAGGTGACTCATCGTGATGTCATGTATGCTAACGGGTCGGTAACGGGACGCGGCGCCACGTAGGTGAGCAGGCGGGCTTCAACTGACAGGCACGAAAATGAATCAGAAGTGTCCCCTTTGAGATCCTGAGCCGGGTGTCGGCTGTGTGATGTCCTTTTTTATGTTTTTAAAAAGGACTATCGGCGGATGCATCATCAACCGCCTAAATATCAATGTTGGACTCAAGATTCCAGATACACTATAAAACAAACTGTAATGTTGCAAATAGCAAAACGATTAGAGAGACAAAAATGAATATGTAATCATGTTTATCATAACCAATTCAAGGCAAAGCTGTTCTCGGTTTCATCCGGTACTACTGATGATTAGCATCAAAAGGGTTATTTTTATTTGGTAATTACCAAACTTAAGTCCAGGCCAAACCTGAGTGCCAATACGTTGTTTTTCATGCCCGATGGCCACGCGGCTCAGCAGACGACATGTATCATGAGGGATCAGACCTCGGGCCAAACTGTAGTCTAATCCAACCCGTTTCCACCTGGAGACGAGGATCAAACCATTGCACATGAGGACGGTCCACGAGGCAGCGGTTTCCCCCCCCAGTGGCATTTCATCCAAATGTTAGAACTGGTTCACGGGTCACTCGCGGAGCGCTTTGTTACGGCGCCGTGGGAACAAGAGGCGAGACCGTGCAGAAACCACAGGTCCATTTCAGAATAGCTGCAGCGTTCACAGACTACAGCGAAGGCCTAATGGCCCCATGGCTCCAAGGGCCCATGGCTCCATGCCACTGTGCCTGCCTTTACCTCGGCTACAGGAGGGGCTCCTTTCCAAACGTGGTGCCAATCCACACGAGACAATTTCTAAATGAGTGGTTCGTAAATACGACTTATAGTTATAATATACCAAATATAATACAACTACCGCGCCAAATATATACATGTTGTGTACACATATTGTTGATTATTTCTCAATTCCATTGTCAAAACAAAAGCTTTAATAGCATGTTCACCTTTCCATTGTGAAATCCCCATGTTCGTGCGGGTCGGGGACCACGGGGACTCTTTCTCATGTGTGATGTTGTGCGCTGCGAGCTGAACAACACGTCAATAACAACGCCGATTCGTGCGTAACATTGCATTGTTCCCAGAACCACCTTAAATGAACCCAAACAACGAATGTTTGTCCGCCTACACGTGAGAGTACGGTAAATCGTCGGATCTCTCATCGTAGTTTGGTGTATTTACCTCCGTACAGAACCAACTTCTCTGAATGAAAAAGTAACGTTTCCCAAATATCTTCGACATGCCTCAAATCAGTTACTGAGCAACCACTTTTACACTTAAGTTCTCACAGTTTGCCACTTTAAATGTTTGCTAATCACCCGATTCCGTCCGCCGTCCTTTGCAAACACGGTGCACATCCGAACAATTGTTGTTATGGACGCGCAATAACAGGCGTCTCCGTACCTGGCTGGCTTTGTGGAACTGTTTTTTCAGCCCGGCCACAGACATCTTGGACCGGGGCGTGCAGCTTCACCTCTGCAGAAGACGTCTCGTGAAAACCCTCCGCAAACGTGGGCAATGTATGTTGGAGAAATAGCCGGGTCGGTCCGAAACGTTGCACTCATCAGTCACTGGCGGTCAACGCTGCAGCGAGCGAGACGGAGACCTGAGCGCAGTCAAGCTCGGGCGGAGCACGCAGACACGACCGGAAACACCTGTGCTGCCTTCAAAGTAAAAGCGTTAAACTGAGGGTTTTGATTGCTTCTCATCAGTGCCGGCTGGCCAATTGAGGGAAATGAGGCGTTGCCCCACCTGGCCCGAGAAAAAAAGAAAAGAAAACATAATATTCAATTATAAACATGTCAATATTTGTGTTTTGGAAATATGTACCCAGTAATATTTGTAAAATGATATCTGCGCAAAATATATGCTTTTCCTGCACGTCCCTGCCTGTCATACGTAGAACATTTTCCACCAGCCGCTTCTCATGCCAAATGAACGGTGTAAATAGTGTGAATAATTGGCACAGGTGAAAGTTTCATAGTAGTCTATTCACATGACAATGATGAACATCTCACCCATACTGTGTTACCAATGCTCTCTCCATATCTTTTAACAGGCTTAGGACTCTTCTCAAAGTGCTCCGTCCAAAACAACCTAAAATAAGCCTTAACAGACCGTTATGTCTTGGCCTTTAGCTGAAAATGTGTATTTCACATTGACATGTAAAATATCTTACTTATCTCGTACACATTGCCTTAAATTCTGAATCATGTCCACTAACACTCTTTTTATTAATCAAGTATCAGAGGAATACCTCCCATATATTCAATAATAGCCTGCAGAACAAATAATATTTTACTGTCATTTTCACGAGGCTGTGTCGTCTGGATACATTTTATTTTGAAAGTAACAACGGGAGACTGTGTTATGTGTATCCGGTTTGGCTCGCTGAGTGGCGGAGGAGGCTTTCATGAATCGCAGAGATGTTGCCACATCTCAAAGCCCATTGGCTGACAGCGGCTCGCGCGGAGGACATGGAGGAGCGGAGGGAGATGATGACTTCAAAAGTGTTAAAAATGTTTGAGCGACCTTAAATAAAATGCTTTTTAAGTAGAACCTACTTATTTTATAATCATGATAAGTGAGGGTATGAGTTTGCATTGCATTCAAATATTAAAGCAAAAATATCGGCAAATTGTGCTCAAGAGCAAATGCTTTGAGACCTTTGTTCATCAAAATACATTGCAATCACTACTAATATATACTATTATGTTATGTTACTAACGTCAGCATTTCTCTCTATACAATTTGATTTAGTTTGCAAACAATTATTTAAAAACTACCCCTTTCCTTTCCACTGACAGACATATACAACACCCACCTCAAACAATCATTGGTTCCAAATTGAAAACAACATTGATAATCGCCTTTTTTGCATTTGTAGATCCCAAAGGTCTCACCAGGGAGCGCTGTTTTTCACAAGTTGTAGGCTTTTTTTCAGTCATATTGTGAATGAACCGTCTTCCCATGTTTTCCGGGTAGTTGAAGAGCTCACTATACTGAACCTCTTATTTTTATAGTTAGCATGAGGAGTTTGCTCATTATTTTGCCCTGAGAGACCCTGACGTCCAGGTCTCCACCTCAGTTGGTTTATCTCCGTTATTTGGGTTTGCACAGTAAATCAGGATCGACTTGCAGCTTAACAGCCCCACGGGAAGCTCTGTGGCTATTAAGCATTAGATTTCAACAAGCAACTTTGCATATGCTTGCAAGCTCCTGCAGATGGTCTGCTGTGAACCATCATGAAAAAACCACAAAACCCAACAGACGACCCCATAAATGGATGGATTTGTGTGGCTGTCAGTTGATCGTCCTATAAGGCAATCCCCGCTAGGAGGTTGAGCCCAAAGCAATGTGCTTTCTCTGGGGATAGTTGGAAAAAATGGTAAATCAGAGACCAGTGATCGAGGGGAGATGAGGAAGTCTTCATCCATCTAAGAAATGGAGCTTATTGAACTGCTCATGACTGGTAGATGCTGTGTTAGGAACAATTGCATGTATGAATTGATATCATACCCGTCTCCCTGGACGCACCTCAACTTTAACTGATGACCATCACTGGTAGTACAAATCCAATATACTGTCAAATCGTATTAAAGAATTGCGCAACAGAGGGTAAGTGTTTTTAATAATATCATCTAATACTGTGCATATTCATATATAATTTGAGTTTTCATTTGAATAATTATGTTATGTTCTAAAAAATAGAATAATGTTGTTAAGATTTTCCATTACAAATATACAGCAAGACACACTGCATGTTGAAATCCCCACCCTAGAGATGTATTTATGACACTATATATAGTAATATTGCTATTATAAAAGTATACATATATCTCAAGTTACCATTCTGTATGCTGGATTTAGTAGCCCATGTATTAATATTTAACATAAATAACTTAAATACCTTGTACATGTGTGTATTTATTGCACCTATCTGTTATAATTATAATTATTCATAAGTATGCAGTGCCATAAATACATCTCTGTACAGGGTGGGGATTTCAACATACGGCATTTCTTGATGTATATTTGTAAAGGAAAATCTTATACCTATATTAGAAAATTATTTTTATTTTTTTTTAGAAAATGACATGCATTATTATTCATAAGTAAGCTGTGTCATGACAACATCTCTGACGTTTATAACAAACCAAACCATTTAAACATCGAGCAAGTTATGGTTATTTAAAAAGTACACGTACCACTACCAACACAATGTTATGGGTGTGCGAGCTGCCTGTAGCAAGATGGCCGCCATCTGCGGAAGCTTGACGCCGTTGGCCGGCAACGCTGAAGAGACATCCAGCCTTTATATATAAATATCTATGGGGGGAGACCACAACGACAGGAAGTAAAGAAATATGTTACGAAAGAGTCAGGGAACTTCAAACTAAAACAGGAAACAATACAAACAAGTTTGTGAGTGTTTTAAAAAAAATGAATTCAGTTCATTTTGTGTATTTACAATCTGTACAAAACGACCTCTTGTCTCCCAGGACTTTCACATTGGTACAGAAAAAAAAAACGTTATCGGGGTAAAGAAAAGGACAGAACCTGTAAGAAAGTACAACTAAGTAAGTAAGTACGATCTGCCAGCCCTCTTGGTAGAGGTACAGCATTTCATTATGAGTAAACAAAGAAAGGATTTTGATTTGCTCAACACCCACCGATTAGTAATGATTATCGTTTTTTTCCAAACGACCCCCCGGCACACATGGCCGATTCTTACAATGGAAAGAATAAAGAACGCAGTTTCCTCAAAGACTAAAATAATCATGCACACACAGCTTTATCAACGCAATTCCTATGAACGCTTTTTAATTTTTTTTATATGAATGCAGTTATCTGGAAAACTGTTTCAAAACTCTTGAAGCAAAATCACAAGTTGGGAGCGTTCTTCATAGAGTCTCCTCTGGTTGCCAAGCAACTGCCCTGACAGCTTTTTAAAATCACAACTTTTACCCTTTTTGTTGTAAAAAAAGCTCCAAAGCTCAAAAAGCTTCGCCGGTGCTGGTAGGAGGCTTTCGTTACCTTTGCAGGCTCTTGTGTATCTCTTTTGTGGTCTTCTGACCACTCAAAGCGCTTCAGCACATTGTCATCATGTCAGCATTCATCCAGTCACACCCATTCACTGATGATTGGAACTACCATGCACAGTGCCACCCGCCCATCAGTAACTCGCATTCACACCATTCACACACCGTGGTGACAGCTGTGTCAGGGTTATGTGTGATGCAGACATCTGATACAATGGATGATGCCTGGACGGTTGTTGATCTGTTCAACCAGCAAGCAATGGCGGAAATGAGGACGGACTCAACACCTGGCGCTGCCCCATAAGGTCTGCTTCAACCTGGCAGGGACGATGTGATGAAGATCCTAATGTCATCCTGCACTACATACTAAATGTATGTACAGTAATGTACTTTCTGATGCTGTTACAACCCCCACTTTGGGAACCACTGGCACCAACCGTTGAGGTGTCGTGCAGGGACTGTTGCCCGTGTCTGGTTGTCTACACCACCAGAGAGCAGCACAGGCCCGCCCAGGACTTAGTCAGATCCAGCAGCAGGGGGCGGCCGAGCAGCAGCTTTCCCCTCCTGTGCTGTCCTGCCTGCTTACGAGAAGCTGGACTACGGTTATGTTCTTAACCCCTGTAAACCTTTGAAGTAATACTGTAGGATATTAGACTGGTTATAGGATACCACAGGATTGGTTTTTCTCACAGTTTTAACTAATGTTGCATGTAATAACTATTTCCATGTTCCATGTCATTTAAGCGTGACTCCTCTGTCCCCCTGGCCCCGTCCCTCCTTCCTTCTGCTTTGGCAACTTTTCCTCCTCTTCCTCCTTCTTAGTCTTTGCAGTATTTGCAGGAACAAAAGTCATCTGCTGTCCATCTGGCTGCTGTGCCAGGCGGTAATACCCCCACCCCCTCCAAGCCCTCCATAGTCCTCAGCTTCCCAAGCACCCGTGGACAATCCATTCTCTCCCCCCTTCTCTGCCGTATCGTCTAGTTCTGCGACGAACCCCCCCCCCCCCCTCCCTCACACACTCCCCCTAATTGGACCGAAAGGTGGGATCCCGTGTCAGTGCCCCAAAAAGACCCCTCTCTGGAACATGTGGGGGATCAGAAGCAGGGTTTTTCAAAGGGCTCAGTTTCACTGTTTGGGAACCTCACAGTAACGGGCACGTATTCATCGCCCCCCAAGTGCTGGCTCTCCACAAACTTAACTTTTAGGTTTCTCACGAGAGGCAAGAAAATCTTCGGGTATTCCGGGCAGATTCGTGATTTACGTCATACTCACTTGAAAAATAATATCAGTTTATTAGTTTTAGTGGTTGGATGGTCGCAATGACATTGTAGACACCACTGTAGCTGAGATTTGGGAACATGGCTGCATTGTTTTAGTACTAAAGCTGCATTTGTATTGGGGTTTTTTTTTTTACTGGACGGATCCACAGTGTGCCTTGTGGAATCCTTGGCTCACAGAGACGAGCCCTCACAGACCCAGACATTTTTCACATGTGGCCCTTATCCTCCCCCCGTAGATACAGCAGTTGTGGAAGTTGGTTGGTCTGTAATAGCCTCCGGGGAGAGCACCGGGCTTTCGAAGCCAATTAGACATATTGTAAAAATAGTGGAAATAGAACTTGTTCTTCTAATGGGGCCCAGAAATACTTTTTCCCCCATAGATTTAGGTTTGGAAGAAGACATCTGTAAATCAGAAGATGTTTTGTTCTCGAGATAAATCCAAATCCCAGTCCACTTTTACAGCATTATATAGAATGCTGTAGGAATGAGTTAAGAAATGAGCATTAAGTTTGAATTTCAGTCTGATTCCCTAAGCCAATGGATTTTGGTTTGGGTGCTTGTTGTTAACACAAACAAAACTGATTTGTGCAATAAAAATATGTTGGTAAATATCCCACTTTTTTCACCATTTGGAAGCTTTTAAAAAGACTGACTAAAAGACGCCATCATTCAGCCTCGTGCGACTGTGACGTAGAGGAGCACCGTAAAGTTCACTTTTTACCTCTGGTGATTGCATTGAGGCTTCAGTGATAATTCAGTGATAAGTGTCGTTCTTGTGACCAACAAGTAAGTATATCACCAATAGCATTGGCTAACAATCCACTTACCCATCTGCCTGGTCAGGTTTCTGCCCCCCCAACAGTTTTAGGGTGATATTGCAGTGTTATAAGACCTCACCAATGGTTTAATAGATGTTAGAAATATGGCTAAAACAAGATGGTACCCGTTTGACTTCTGCCGAACTCCTCCCTGAGAATAACTCTCTTATTCATTGAGCAATTTAATGATAATCCCAATGGCTGCTGAGATCACCATCATTGATTTGTTCGGACAAAATGTTTCCATTGAACTATCCCATTCAAATAAACAAAGAAAACACAGAGATATAAAGCTTCCATTGACCAATGTGTCATAATCCTGATAACTTATAGTCATTTCACCAAAATACAAAATACTTTCAGTTGGAAGCGCTTGATTTGATGTGCAGCAGTGCTGGCTAAGACTGAAGCACTCACTTTTAACGTCAAAACCGTGACTCAGATTCATATTTGATTAATAGCGCGGCCCTAGTTATTCATGCACCTTTAACTACTGAATGTTTCTGGCAGTTCCAGTTCAGTTGCTCCAAACAGTCAGCACCGTGAAGACGTTAGCTGTGAGCTAGCGACCGACGTGCTCACTCACAGTGGGATTGCTGGGTTTCTGTGGGTGCCCACAGTTCATTTGTACACTTTTACCACTGAATGCTTTCTGAAAGCCGTCCGCTGCTTCTTAAAAATAGCTCCAAAGATGCAAGTTGTTCCAACTGTAGTGTGGAGGAAGCTGAGCGAGTGCTCCACCTCTACAGATCAACCAGGTTCTCTGCTGAATATTGTCGCCTACATGCAGCACGCAGGAGGGACTGAAATAACCCGTTGTGCCCTCTCTGAGTGGTACTAGATTTCTGCAGCGTGCTAGAGGAAAGGATGGGGGCCACTTGTCTGAACTGGGTTTTTCAGCTCCAGAGTGATGAGGAACAGCTCTGCAGGATCACTAATGTACAGTAAATGTGATGGGTGGGTTGAATTGTTGAGTTATGCAAGGCTTTCAGCCCTCTGTAGTAGTGCAATACTTTGGCATGTTGCGTAACAGATTTGCCCTCCTCGCTCTTTCAATGTGGGCCCAACTATACTTCCGCTGTCCCCGTCCATTTCCATTCATGGCCTTTGACTTTGCATAGCAGTACTACTGCGACTAGCTCACCTCTTCAATAATTGGGAGGGCTATTTTTTGTTGGCAGTGAAGTACATGCTATTTTGGAGCAATGCCAATTTGAATAACTGCTGAATGGGACCATCTTAGTGGCTCTTCCCTTTGGTCGTGTTGAACGCAATCACAAAAATGGAATCAAAAAGCTTTTTACGGGCTGCTGTTGCTGTGCCCTGACATGACTGTCTGCTGTACATGTTTGCCTCCACCTGCGTAGCTTGGATTCCCAATCTGGGCAGGGTGCCGTTGAAGGGTCAAACTTCATCCAAACAAGCGAATTTGGACTCAGGCAGATTTTCTCAGTGCCTTAAAGGGTCGGTGAACCCAAAATGCAAATAATAATAATAAGTTGACAGGAGTAAGTAAGCAAATATGCCCACTTACTCCTGTCAATTTATTCTTATCCGGTTTTGACATGTGGACTGTCAGTACTAATTCATGACAGTGAGCATTCCCTCCAGGAGAAGCCTGTGGACAATTTTTCCACAATAAGGCTTTGTTTTTTAAGACATTACTTCTCAGTTCTGAAAAGAGTTCAATGAAAAATATATTTTACAGATTTGGCTGAACCTTTAAATGTTTTTTGCCCTATCGGAGTGGGATGATCTGCCTAGCAGAATGTTTCTGCAGTATGTAATCTTCCCAGCAGTGTCTGGTAGCGGTTTGGGAGTCCGGATCACATGGTATTGCTGTCGAGATGAGCGAATCCACAATCCTCCTCTTTTCCTTTCTGATGTTGGTGGATTAAAAACACTTTTCAAACATGTGCAAACATATGGCTTTTTATTTAATTGAAATTAATATTGAAACATTAAATCAAAGGAAATATGAACACCAATCAACATATGTCAGCTTAACTCCATTTTTTCTTTTTTACAAATCCGAACAACATACAAATGGGATCCTAAATCTGCTGCATTGCATTTAAATACCAAATGAAAACAAAAGGCACAATGCAGAGCAAAACCAGAACAAAACGCTGAAGTGAAATAATAACGTAACGAACCTCATGCAAGACCATTTTCATATTCTCTAACTTAACTTTCTCTTACGTCTTTCCTGCTCGTGTGCCAACCCTGCTAGCTTCAGATAGCTGAGTACATTGAATGAGCCTGCGTGAATGGGAATTACGTGTCAGCATAATTAACAGCCCAATAAGACACCATAGGGCGACTCGTCCTGCCCCATGAATCCTATTTTGAAGTCTTCCATAAAGGAAAATCCATAAGTCTTCATCAGCATCATTAACGGAAATAAGGGATCAAACTAGAGCTGAGGAAGGTGGAAAAATAACAACTGCTGTTTCTGCCCTTTCACCTGAGGATCGTACTGTCAACCAAATGAAGAAGAAGAAGTATGAAGAACGTATCGCTACACCCGGGGTTTAAATACCTAAAGGTTCATTTGCAGTTTGAGATATTCATGTTGAAATTCTAGTGTTGTCCGATAGCATCAATATTTAAATAAACGCTGAAATTAGAATTATATTAGCCTTCAGTCAGACGTGCAGGAAACACCGTAGTGTCATAAATAACATAGTTCTAATTATTTTGGAGTATTTTCAAATTTAAAATTACAGTTAAAATGACCAAAATATCTCATTTGTGACGAACCCAGGCGATGTAGAGTAATTGTACATGAACCCCAACTCAGGCCACTCGTAAATCTCGTACTTAGCTAAGAGAAAATAGGAGCAAAGTGGCAAATGTGGCATGTTCCTAAATCACTGGTACAAGTCACTTGACAACACAGCGTTCATGTGAGTGGGTCCTGCATGAGGTCCAGCGCACTTGTTCAGTGATTTAAAAAAAGAGAACGAAAAGAGGAACATGTGATGGGAGAGGTGAAATGAGCCTTTTTTATACAGTATATTTTTTGGTTTCTTTCAAATAACAAATAACTCTATTCACAGAATATACAGTTCAATAAACATTTTGTTTACCAGTTTTTGTTTTTTTCCGGTGTGCTCACATGTTGGACAATTATTATCATTTTCTATTATTACTATTGTTATTTTCTATCAGTGTTTGACTCATTCACAGTACATGCTTCTAACCTCCAGACGCAGCATATCGTCCTGCTTATCGTCCAGTCAGTCAGGATACTGCAAGCAACCACACAAACAATACGATGCCTAAATCAAGTCTAGTCCCATGAGCAGGTTTCTTTACAAAAACACCATCAAAATCAAAATATTTCATTATACCGTGATCAATCAAAAACTGTTCTTTTATGTTTTATTTTGGTGAATTTGACCCTATTTTACAGATACAGAGCCCACCCATGAATACTGCTGACACAAATAAGATGGGATAAGACTGGGCGGCCCCATTTAATACTGCATACCCCTCACACATTATGAAAAGGTTTCTATACACACCTGTGGACTGAAAAATCTTTGGTCAACATTGGCAGTATGCAACAAGCAGAACAGTGAAGACAGATCATATATAACACAATACAATAACTTATTGGTCAAGCTCACAACACCATAGCTTTTCAACAAAGACTATTTTTCAAAAAAGGAAATATGTCGAGGTTACTTCACTACTGTTTTTGATCACATTATGCACAGCTTCACAGGTGTGATGTGAACATCTGACAACAAAAACACCAGAGAGAAAACAACTCCTATGATACTCAACTCTCACATGAACAACACGCAGACAGTCAAACAGAGACATCGTTAGAATCTTTAAAGTGGGCTGTAAGGCAAACCAACGCAGAGGACTCACTGACATTTAATCGTTGATGTGGGAACACAACCATCTAAAAGCAAGTTTTATTTGCCAATTAAAAATAAACTTCTAATTGTACTTTATTTTTCGCCCCCGAAAATATCACAGCTGGATATTTTAAAAAGTGCCAACTGGCGAGCCTTCTTGTAGGTGCCCAAACACATCGACAACGACAAAAATGACAATTACAACCCCAGGGCCACGTTGTCCCTACTCCTGCTCCATGGCGGACCCGGAGCCAACGGCTAGGTTCCTGTGAAGGTTTGGGTTCTGGCTGTGGCGGTTCCTGCTTCGTACAGAAGAGAAGGACGTGTCGCAGCCGGGGACTTTACACTTGTGAAGCAGTCGCAGGTGGACGGTTTTGTAATGCGCTCTGAACGTGCCCTTGTTGCTGTAGACCTTTTGGCAGACGTGGCAGGTTATCGGAGACCCGCCCCCACCTCCCTGAAGCCCGCCTTGTCCTCCCCCGATGCAGCCCAGGGTCCTCCCGCCCGCGAGCACCAGCTCCTCGCGCCCCGGCCTCCCCGCGCCGAGTCCGTCGCAGCTTTCGTCGCTGTCCTCCATGTGGAGCGCCTCCTCGTCCTCTTCGACCCCTTCCTCGCTACCGGCGCCGTCTGAGTCCCAGGAAGAGCGGACACTGCCGCTGCCCCGGGGGGGGGCGGACGAGGAGGTGCTCAGGTCCAGCACTGCCCCATCCTCCCCATTTCCATCCCCCTCCCCTCCGCCCCCTAAAGCCTCCATGTCCGCTAAAGGAGACACCTCAGCACTGTTTGGTGCGGTGGACATTTGGCTCATTGGGAAGACCAGGCCCATGCGATTGTGTCCTCGGAAGATGACGGACGTCTGGCTGGTCGGGTCTCGATGGGGTAGATCCCGGTCTTGATAGTAGTCCAGAGTGGCCGGGTCTCTGTCTATACAGTGGGATGAGGGCAAGTATAGTGGGTTGGCTGGGCTGAATGAGTCTTTGGTTAGAAGCTTGTGGTGCAGGTTCAAATTTGCACTGTGTCTGTAGATAAAAAAATAAAAAAATGAATTAGGCACAGTGACCTTTATTTATTAATAAAAAAAGAAGAACAGACTGAGGACCTAAAATGCCAAAGCAATAAAAAAGAATGCAAGAATTTCTCTTTTCATTCATTCATATATATATATATATATATAAATATATATATATATATATATATATATATTGTTTAGAGAGAATGTTTAATGAAACAAATACATATTAACAAGTCAAACGTTTCACACAATAATTGGCTTCCTTTTAAACAATGTCAATTCACGTGGGTGCATCACTTAAACCCCTCTACCCCGTCTCACGAGATACTGCTCAAATGATATTACAGCGCTTACACGGCCACCACGCTTGGAGCTAAGCGCAGAAAAAGAAAATGATCAGAGTTGGAGGTCTTGATCAACGAGAGGACCGGCGGTACTTTCTGACGTCAGGACAGGCACAGGATGGATTTGTTTCCTTTTGGTCTTATTTGTTGAGATTTAGCAGCCGTAAAAGCTGCACATATTACAGTTTTTGTCTGTATTTATCTACAGACATGTGCACAGTTTACCCATATCCTGTGTGGACGGGCATCACCCTTTTTTTTTTGCTGCGCAGATATTGCTGTTGCGTGAATGAGTACGACTCAAGCTTTGGGGGCCATTTCCTTTCTAAACAAACAGCGCTCTAGAATATCAACTCCGCCAGAAACGTTGCATATTTCAGCAGCCCGTGTTAGAGTAGCACATAATTGATGCCTCATTACTGGCACACAGGGTGTCTGCTAAGAGAAGCCATGAGGACAACGGAGTGAGCCGGTCGATTGATAAAAACAAACAGATCCCATTTGGCCCTCGCCCCCTCGGAAATCGAGGCGCTTTAATTAGTCAGCGATCCTGATTGCCCGTCCTCCCACAACACACGTCTGTTGAGTGCCTCTCACCTGTCTCGGCTCCTGCGGGAGGGGAAGGCAGCGTTGCAGCCGTCCACCGTGCACACGTGCATCTCCTTCAGGTGGACATTCTGGTAGTGCATTTTAACACTGTAGGGGTTCTTAAAGGTCTTACTGCAGATCTCACAGTGGTGTGGAAGGTCACCGTCGGGGTCGAGTTGGGAAAAGCCAGAGTTTCCGTAGTCGTCGACGCAGCCGTCCGATGCCTCTCTCTCGCGGCCTACGAGCTGCAGAGCGCCGCCGTTGGACCGCTTGTGCTCGCCGTCATCCCATCCGAGCCGTGCGATCCTGTCAGTGTGTGCGTGATCCCCCTCTTCCCTCTCTTCACTGCCTTTGGGGGGCTGACAAAGGAAGTCGTCGTCACAGCGGTTCTCCATCAGTCTGTCCTCCAACGGGGAAGCTGTAGAGGAGAAGACCCCTGTTTCGTCTCGCGTTGGCTCGTCGTCTTTGTCCTCCCTCGCCGTCACTTCACGATCTAAAGGGAGGTCCAGGAGATGCTTGTGGACCTCCCTTTCTTTCTCCTCGCCAATGTGCCCTCCCCTCGTGTCCCTCTCGTCCACAGCTTGTCTTGTGCACACGCGCCGTTCTCCTCGAAGTCTGTCACACTCTTCTTCTACGTCTCGGCCCTGAAAAGGAGCCTCGTCCTCGGAGCCGCCTCCCCTTTATCTGCCCGCTCATCTCGCTCCACCATCTCCTTCTCTATCTTTATCGGCATGCTTGACTTGCGAGACTTTTTCTTTGGTACGGGGTCCGCCGCGCACGGTTCAGGGCCCGCCAGTGGTTTGATGGGCACAGAGGAGGACAACAGCGGAAGGGAGGGTAGCGTCCCTGGGGTGTTGGCGAGCTCTGCCGGGGTCACCAGGCTGCGGTAGAAAGGCAAGACTGGCTGCACCGTTTTCAGATTGGGGAAGAGGATGCCGCTCTGGCCCATGTTGGGGAAGGAGCTGCTGTGGAGCTTAGCGCCAGTGTCCACGTGGCTCACCATGTAGCTGGGCACTGACTTGTGGCTTTCTGCGGCGCAGACGGGGATGGGGATTCCATAATCAGGCCTCTTCTCCCCCGGGGAGCCCTCATCTCCCGACAAGCTGCCCCGGATGTCTTTGTCCCGGTTGTTACGGTTCATGGGCATGTGCAGCCGTGGGTTTGGGTTGGCGCTGTGGCGATTGCGGCTGCGCAGGGAGCTGAAAACCATGTTGCAGCCATCGATGGTGCACTTGTGCTTGATCTTCAGATGCACTGCATTGTAGTGGATTTTCAGCGTGCCTTTGTCGTAAAATGTCTTCTCACAGGCGTTGCAGTACACCCGGCCTTTCTTCAGAGAGCACACGCCCCCGCTGCCCGCCGAGAGCCCCCCGCCGCCGCTCCCAATCCTTTCCAGGCAGCGCATCTTGCTCTCGGCGACATTTTGCGTTACGTCCGAGCTCATGGAGGGTGTGCACGGAGTCGAAGGGCCTTCCGAGTAGTTGTCGCTCGTGGAGAAGTCTCCGCACAATCTTTGTAGTGGTGGAGATGATGTCCATTTTCCTGTCTCCGCTCCGGTCCAGATCAGCAGTGAATGAGACGGCGCCCGATCCGAGCAGGCTGCTCTCGGGGGGGTGCGAAAGAGTGAGGGGGTTATCCCTCCCCGGGCCGTCACAGCTTTGATCGTCTCGCCTGTGGCTTTGCTGCTCCACTGACCCGCGGCATGGCTGCTGGTGCTGCGGGTACTGCGGCGCTCCTGCCGGGGAGCCCAGGAAGGGTGCAGGAACGGAGCCCAGCAGCTGGAAGGGCAGCATGAACGCCATGCTGTTGACAAAGTTCTCAAAGTGGTGCATGCTACTGCTGCTCAGTTTATCGATTTTGGCCGGCGAGAGGTTGGCGGCGGCGCGAGGCGTGTTGCGCTCGATGAAGGTGCGGATGTCAGAGTTGGTGCGGGTGCTAGGAACCAACACAGCCTGGCCCTCCTTGTCCTGCAGAGCCATCAGCTCCACTATGGACTTGGTCTCGCCGAAACGCAAAAACTGCTGCAGTGTGGCGATCTCCTCCTCGAAAGTCATGATGGCCCAACGGTCCAGTACCTTACCGGCTACATCCTGCACAGGGGGCGGGAAGAAGGGGGAGGAGGCGGGTGTATGAAATACATTGGGAAGGAGAGGGGAAGAGAAAGAAGGGAGAGAGCAATTTCATCATTAGCATTATAAATGTCTGTTGGGTTGCTCATACATATTCACACAGTGGGTTACATGACACACCCCATGAAGCAGACTGGCAGGGCGGCTAAATGAAGGAATCAGATTGAGCGTTAATACGTGCGGGCAGCGCAGAATCCTGAGAGCCCTCATTACGCCGACTCCCAGTGTTTCATCTCCTAGGTCATTTCTCTTCATTTAGATCATGTGGATTTACTTGCATGCATCCAGGCATAATAGCAAACACATACAAAGGCGTGCACACCAATCACAGAGGGTGATCACAGGGCGGTTCACATTGATCAAGTGGGTCCTCTCTCCCGTCGCCCGGCAGTAATCACATGTGAGTTTGGGTGTCTTTGAAAGGGAAAGAGCGGCTTCGTGCCGTAACCGTGTTTAATATTTCATCACAGAGCATTCATCGGGCGCCTGTCGAGGATTCTGACTCTACGTTCGCAATTAGATGAGCTAACATGAATTAAGCGCGCCCCGACTTGAATACTTGATGATGTACTAATCGAACTGAGAGCGCGCGCTGACATGGTGCCTGCAGCCCAGGCCTTGGCTTCAGCTTGAGAGGAAATCTCAAGCAAAATAAATAAGATTTACAAATCCACCAAGTTCTGAGACCTCCCCGAGCCGGTTGTACCACAGCAACTAGCGTGGGTACCAAGGGGGTTCATGGCATTGGTCGCTACATGTCATCCCTAGTCTCCTCTACCATGCTTTCATGACCAGTCTCCTCCCTCTTCCTCCCTTGAAGATTGATATGCATCTTATGGCTATGTATGAATAGCAGAGTCACAATGTGTTCCACTGGCATTACATTAGTAAATACATTTCCTTTTAGACTTTGATACAATAAGATTACTTTTTGCATCCAATACCGGCTATTAGAAAGCAAGTTTAGAGCACTTTTATCTCCCTCTCAGACAGTAAATGAGCGTATTTTCCAAAATCTTTCCCTATTTTCGCCTTGAAGGGTTCAGAAACCCGTGTGGGGTATTATCAGAACTGTCGAAAAACACACACATACATACACCCCCCGCCCCACACAGCTCACCTGGAGGACGTATCCACGTATGTAGTCCTGCAGGGTCCAGTCCAGTGCGTTGAGGATCTGGATGACCTCCTCTTGCTTGAGCACAGAGAACAGACGGTCCAGGAGGATCTTGAGGCGGATGGGGACGGCCTGGGTGCCGTACAGCATCAGGCTGCAGATATCGAACACCACGTTGGAGTGCACAATCTCCACCTGGCTGCTCTGGTACATGTGGTGGACCTTCAGTTTACTCAGGGCTGCAATACAACACAGCCGACTTGACTTGATTAGATTGCATCTATGTAAGGTCATTCATGTAAGCGATGCTGAAAAAATAAACCACAATATATACACCAATATCTGATCTTGGAGCAGCGAGGTCTTACCGTGCGCCACCCAGCCATGCTTGCAGTTCTCGCACTGCCTCCTCTTCAGCTTCCCAGGCTTGAAGCTGTCACAGTTACAGTTCACCAAAGTGCAGCAGATCGCCTGTCAACACAAAGAGGGACACCGTTTTTTCTCTTCTTTTAATGAGCGCCAACACACAAAACAATATATTCCCTGTTTTTACAACCCACGGTACCACCCTTCGGCGGGAATTGGGACTTGCTGACGTCTTTCAGAACCTGATCACCATAAATTTCCCCGCCGGATCTTTTCTCCTTCTTTCTTTTTCAGTACTTTTACGAAGCAGCGGATGCTTCTGTCGTCTGAATTATGCAAACCGAAGTGTCTTTTTAAGGGGCTGCAACTTTTCAGAGAATTCAAATATTTGGACCAAATGTATCGAAAAAGGTTGACTTTCTATTTCTAGAAGATATGAATTTTTTTCTGTTATGCCTTTAAAAATTAAAGGTAGAATATCTCCAGATGGCCACATTTGTATGCGTCCCAGAATTGCAGCATGACAGCAATAATACAGTGACTGTGCAGTGTGTGTCTGGGTGTGTGTGGGGGGGGGGGGGGGAGTAGTGCTGCAGGGCCGGTCCTATCTACAGTACGCCTAACAAAAGGTCTCGGACACACCTGGACCGCCAAAACCCTCCCAATCAATCAATGCCTAAGGCAGACACACACACACACACACACACACACACACACACACACACAGGGGTCAAGGGACTCTGTCCATTAGCTCGTCTGCTAATGGCTTTTTATCTTTTCAGGATCAACGTGCAGAAAAGCAGAGTGAGTGGACACAGAGACAAGAGGGGAGTGAATGGCCCTAATGAGTCCGGTTTAGTGGGGAGCTGCTGACTCGGCAGCGGAGAGGACTCCAGCGCTCTGTTTCGCTAGAAATGTCTCCGGGTCTTTCCGCCTTGGACAGAATCAACCCTTTACGCACTAGGAGCCGCGCATGAAGCATCATCAGATTTAGGATCAAAGACGCTGCGCTACACGCTGAAAACCTCAGAGTGGCTGTGCTACGCCGCCTCTCTCCCCCTCCGCATCTATAATGCATGATCAGCGAGGCTTCGGTATACATGAGCGGCATGCTTAGCTCCTTGCTGGAGATCACTGCCTCTCCACGGGCGCAGGGGGGGGGGGATGCCAAGTGTGGGTGGGTGGATGGGACGTCCTCCTCCTCCTCCTCCTCCTCATCATTTAGTCAGCCGCTTGGCTTCTGCGCTCGAGGCTGGGCTCGTCCTTGAGGTTTGGCGTTGCGTTGTTCCACCTTACAATAACCTCTCCTCATTAGGACGGATAAAGTGACCCGGGATGAGGGCGGGCGGGCGGGCGGCAGCTAGCTGGCCTTGAAACAGCTACCAAGCCTCGGTCCCGTGACATCCGTCTGCTTCTCTCTCTCTCGCCCTCTGTGTCAGTTTTGTGTCCGGCCTGCTACCTCGGTCCTGCTCTGGACAGTGACGGGGTGTAAACCCCCCCCCCCCCCCCCAAAAAAACGCCCTTTTGCTCGTCTCTCAGCGACATAATCCCATCATTACAGAGCACGGGGAACCAACATGGCCCAATTAGGCTAATCCCAGCCCACTGTGGGTGCACGCACACCTCCTCCTGCTACTCCCCCTAATATACATCTCAATCAGGTGCCCCCTGCGCGCTCACCAGCCTGTAACACACACACACACACGCACGCACACACACATTCCTATGCACAGCGTGCTCTGGGTCGTTTATCTTGATTAGCAATTCATTTTTTGAGTTCCTGAAAAGAAGACGAAGAAGAAGAAGAAGAAAGGGGAAAAGAGGGAGAAGAAGAAGCACTATGGCAGCGCGGGGCGGAGCACGGCTCGGTGACCGAGCCTCCCACCATCTTTCTCTCCCCCCGTTGTCACAACAAAGCCCCGGCTGTTCGCACGCATCGCCGAAGCCGATGACAAGAAGACTAATTGCACAAAATGATGCTGCTGGGTCAGTGGAGCCCGAAGCTGACGCGGCGTCGCTTTTTTTTCTTCATATCAGTGATGTTTAACAGTGTGGCCACACGTCGACCCCCCCGTCACCTCCACCCACACCTCCGGCACACCGCGCTCACACATCGCTGCAATTAGCATCGGGCTCCGTTCATCTATCCTACAGCATAAGAGTGTTAGAATAAAGGAGGTCTTCATTGAAACAGCAACAAATATTTCTCATAACACTGGTAAAAATAAATATTTGACAGAATATTCAGTTTTTTTCGTTAGCATAGATATTGCTTTTTAGGACAATAAATGTGGACACATACTACAACAGAGGTAGAGCAGCTTGAGTTAAGCCTTAACGCTGAGTGTATTAATGAGATCCAGTGTTTGCGAACAATATTGACCTTTAGCAATAGTCATCTAATAAAAATAAAACTACACTATCTGCAAATCTTTTTTTCCGTTTTTTGTGAAGTGAAAGTGAAAGCTTATTCAGTCTCCCCGTGTACATCTTTATGGTGGACACCGTCCCTCAGCGCCGGCCCACTTGTTGGACTGTGCACTCAGGGGCCGGGCTGTGCAGGACGCGGAGATGGAGGTCGTGGCGGGGGGGTTAAAGAGAGGGAAGGCGAGGTTAAGAAAAGAAGGCAGAGACTAAATTAAAATGCAGTCCGTGTGTGTGTGTGTGTGTAAAGAACCTCGATGCGCCTACGATGTTTTCAGGTGAAAGGTAACATGAACTCGTTATATTCATATTGCAAATTTAGCTGTTTGCTGATGTATAACAATTTAATAATGTAGTTTCAGAAATGATCACAGTTCATTATATACAAGTTACAGTGACGATGAAAAAGGTTCTACGTCTAGAACAGGAGTGAGTAGAGCTGCTCCGCTTGATCAGTAATAGTGTTTCATTTCAATTGAAACCAGATTTATTTTAAAGGGGAACGATACATTTGTTTCGGTTTCATATTTATTCTCATTACTATTAGCCGGATCTTTCTCACTGTTACGGTTCATCTTGTGAAAACACGGCAATTAGTTGAATTAAATCTCCACCATTCCAGCTGCTAAACTTTAACAGGTAGCAGCTGAAATGGTTGGTTGGGTTGTTTTTGGTTTAAAAGTTTGTTTTTTGCTCAACCGTGCTGTTTGAAGATGTTGAAGCGGCTCCTCACCCGCATGCCAAGCGGGCCTGTTGTTTACAGCAGCTCGACCGATTTACGTTTTAGTCACTGACTATTTGGCCTTCGATCGGTTGCTGAGGAGCCCGATGCTCGGATGGCAATTGACTCACATCCGGATGCTTTCAGGAGAAGAGCCGTCTTGTGATACGTAGTCACACGCGGTCCTGATCATGGGAGAAAAATGCGTTTTCTTATTCTTTCTAAACATTTTATTGAGGGTTTTTTTCACAGCAAAGAAAAATAATTACATTTTTCCAAAATGCACTTTGCCTGTGTGGACGGCATAAAGTCAGTAGACACCTCATACCAAATAAGTATCTGACCCCTGATCTGTGTGGTGACCTGTAGATACACAATGTGTGGATATATTATGGAAAAATATGTTCATCGCGTATCGTCGTCATTCCACCTCGTTTTTCTCACACACACAGAAGAGAAAACGCATGAAATCCTGTAGACGTCCTGAAGAGTCTCGGGGCTTTAGAGACTCAGCGGAGGCAAACAGCTGCTCGGACAGAGACGGATGGGACGGACGGGGACTCGCCGGCTTAATGTGCTGGAAAAACGAATCAATTAGCAGCAGCCCGCCACAAAGTGACACTCAATGGGGGAAGACGCGGTCGTGGTGCCAAAGAGAGAATAACAACCTGATGAGCAGCTCCGAGGAAGAGGAAGGGTGACGACGGCCAAGTGAGAGATCGCGATTTACTAGCAGCCATGAATCACTTTATGAGTCCGTCATGGCACAAGGGGAATAAAGCCAGCCGGAGTTTCCTTTGATGAAAACTACTAATGCATATTACTATGAACTAAACACACTAACTTTCCCACTCACTTTCCAGCACACACAATGGTCATGTAAATGGGTACAAATGGTTTGTTTTTGTATTGACCATGAACAAAGCAATTAGTTGCTATAGTTAATGGCATCTGTTGATTAACCAAGTTGTAGAACAGAAGGAGGAAAACAAACAAAAATGTTCACAAAAAAACACAAAAATTTTCTGTTTCTGTGGATTTTAAATTGTTGTTCAAATTGAAAGAAGAAATATTAAAAGGACATATTAGACCGTAGGAGGTTGTCACGGACGCACTATTTCCTGCCTTTAAAAATGATGCATTCATTCACTCTAAAAACTCCAATTTGAGGAAAATATTTCATTAAAGAGTAACCTTTTCTCCTTTTTTCTCTGGAATTAAATTTTAAAAGGAGTTTGCGCTGAAACTTGGGGGCCAAAGTGAGATTGATTTTGGGAAAAAAAAACAAAAACGGGTTACCTTAATTTAGCACATGAAAAATCATGAAATAGACAATAAAAAGCAAACAGCCAGCTCAAGAAAAGACGAGCATTCACACACACACACACACACACACACACATAAATAAATAACTCATCAGAGTCAGAACACACAGAAAACACTCAGGAATCTAGTGGGAGGACGTTGTTCTTGGTAACACTCCGATGTCCTGCTAATAACGCCGACCAACACCTGGGACCACATTAACTCCACGTGGCCCCACAGGCTCTGTGTGTGTGCGTGTGTGTGTGTGCGCGCAGCGCGGGCAAAAAGCACAGTCATGAATAAATCACGCCCTGGTCCAAGTTGTGTATGTGAGAGCGAGGCAGTAAAATGTTAATTGATGACAAGTGTTAGTTAGAGCGAGGTCAGGATACATGAGCCGCTCAGCGGGCGACGGGATTCGGGCCCCGGCTCCTGATTTAATGTCACTCCCCCCGAACAAAGAGGGGAGCACTTTCAACACACGGCCCCGGATAAAAACAGAAAGGTGACATTATACTTCTTACACACGGACCCTCGGCGCTTCATCGACTTCACGTCAGTCGTACTTCAAAGAATGAAATGAGTAAAATCACGAGCTCCTTTAACACAGCAGAGATCCACAAAAGGAGAAGACGAGCCCGGGAAGAAGCCGGCGAGTACAAGTAGTGACAGGCGGGTTTTGAGCCTATTAGGAGCCCATAGAGCCCAAAGACAGCGTGAACAACTCATTATTTCACACTCATCCGGCAGTCAATCACAAGAAAGCACACACACACACACACACACACACACACACACACACACTGGTGCAAACAAAAAAGGTAACAAATCTTTACCTGAGTATCCATGAGAAAAAGACTGACTTCCTCAAAAGCAAAAGCCTTAAAAGAGAGTGAGCTTGTGTAGGGGAGAGGGGTGTCGGGGGGCGGGTGGGGGGGTAGGCGGAGGGACGAGCCAAAGTTGGGTTGGCTTCCCGGTGTATGTGTCTCCCCTTTAGAGGGGGAGTGTTTGGCTCAGAGAGGGAGTCAATGAGGGGAACATGTTAGTACACCCAGTCGCAGAGAGAGTTTGGCTCCCAGCTACGCTCTGATTAATATCAGATTCTCTCTCCCCCCCCCTCACCCCCTCATCCCCCATCTACCTCCCATCTACCTCCCATGCCTGCCTCCTGACAATCATGTCACATCTGGCTGACAAATCCTCACAAGCCTTTTGGTGGCAGCGCGGGGCGGACGCGAGGCTGCAGTGAGAGTGTGTGTGCGTCTAGTTGGGGGGTGTTTGGGGGTGTTTAGGGGGAGAGGGGGGGGGGGGCAAGCCGGGACCAGAGGGGCGCTTGGCAGCTCGAGGAGACGCTGAAGGGGGTAAAATGCTGGATCAGATACAAACACTGTGTCCCCCCCCTCATCCTTTCACGGATGGGCCATCATGAACCTAATGAAGCCGACGACGCTGGCAGGCTGCAGTCGCCCTGCTAACACACACACACACACACACACACACAGTCACACAGAGCATTGTGCGACGAGCAGGGGGTGTTTTCTGTGTGTGTTTGTGCCCTGCAGCACTAAAGGCGAACAGAGAGACGCCCACAGAAAGAGACGGACGTAGACAGAAGGAGACGAGAGAGGTAAAGAGAGAGGACATTAGTTTGTTAAAGGCGCACTCTACTCACATTTCTGTGTCGCACACACACACACACACACACACACACACACACACACACACACACACAGTAATGGTGTCACACAATAAAAAGCAACCTGTTAGAGGAGCATGAAATGTGCAAGAAAGACAGAAAAAAGCCTCTTATTTGAAATGATGGCATAATTGGATTAATTGAATTAATTTTGAATAATTGTATTTGAATTTATTTGTTATCTGTTATTATTAATAGTTAATATCTTTTTTTAACATATTTTTAAACTGTATTAAAACAATGACTTTGCCTTGTCATATTTAATGTTCATTTAAAAATATTTAAGATTCCAAATCAGTGGATATTCATCTATTTTACATTGCTTTAAAATATATTGATAACAAATATGTGTTTTTAATTACAAATTAGATAAATTGTACAAAACGTAAGGGCCTCTCAGATTTTTTTTATTCATAAATATAACAATGGGACAATTGTTAAGTAATACATGAAGTATTAAATAAGTAAGTGATGAAAATGCTCCTTTTCAGTCTGTTTTGTTTCCATGATCAGACAGCATCTGCTCCTCTTCTGCTTCATTCATTAATCGTGTGCTCATCTCAGATTGTTGTTAAAGCCTCCAGTCTGGACAATCTGCTCGTCTCTCTAGCAAATAAACTACAAGCGCTTCTCCGTCCACCGTTTGGCACAGATTCTACACACAAACACACCGTACACACTCCTGAGTGTGTTGCTGCTACCGACTGCCCCACCAAACACACAGCTCGGACAATTGTTGCATTACGGCCACGATGAGACATTGGGCTGCTCCTAAATCCCATTGGGAAGAGGCTACAGGAGGCAACTAGAGGCTACAGGAGGCAACTAGAGGCTACAAGAGGCTACAGGAGGCAACTAGAGGCAACTAGAGGCTACAGGAGGCAACTAGAGGCTACAGGAGGCAACTAGAGGCAACTAGAGGCAACTAGAGGCTACAGGAGGCAACTAGAGGCTACAGGAGGCAACTAGAGGCAACTAGAGGCTACAAGAGGCAACTAGAGGCTACAGGAGGCAACTAGAGGCTACAAGAGGCTACAGGAGGCAACTAGAGGCTACAAGAGGCTACAGGAGGCAACTAAAGGCAACTAGAGGCTACAAGAGGCTACAGGAGGCAACTAGAGGCTACAAGAGGCTACAGGAGGCAACTAAAGGCAACTAGAGGCTACAAGAGGTTACAGGAGGCAACTAGAGGCAACTAGAGGCTACATGAGGCTACATGAGGCTACAGAAGGATACAATAGGCTACATGAGGCTACGAGAGGGCGGGCTACAGGCAGCTGTATGGAGGACAGGCCAGGTGAGAACAGAAGCTTATTACTGTCTCTAAAACGAGGGTGAAAGTGGTGTTCAGGATAGAATATGCCTCGATATACAAGTGTTAAGTAATTCTGATTCTAAATCCAGAGGCTTGATTGTAATGAAATGCATGAAGCACACGTACAGAACATGGATTCAGAAGAGAGGACAAAAGAGAAATAAAGATTCGTTCACCACTGACTTTGACTTGTTGCTCTTTGGGAGTTGCCTCTGGATTCTTGGAAGGACAATCTCACTTTCAGTTCAAATCATTTAAAGCAAAGGAAGTATACAGAGAAGAGAAGCTGGCGCAAACTAGTGGTCCTATTATTATGTTCACTTATTCTTTGGTTACAGAATTCCTCATTTAAAAGTCAAAAATGCACATTGTTATAATAATTGAATCCGTGTTTCCGGAACAATTTGACTCAGAGAACTTTTAAAAGGCAACAATATTTCTCAAAAGAAAAGCATTCAGGGGGAAAATAATACTGCTTTTGTATTAATACAGAAACACCAAAACATCCAAAAATGTCCAACGCCACCCAGCTCTATTGATCCCAATGTAACAACTACTAAGAACACATCCCAAACACATCTGGACGCGCAGCACAACTGCACTCTACATCTGCACGTCTCTCATCAACGAACACACGTAATCCCACACAAACACAAAAACACTGCTCCTAAAAGTCTGAAATCCTTCCGCCTGTCACTCTGCTCCGTGTAAACTCCGTCCAGCTTGCCTTAGTTGAACACGTCGGCGTGAGCGAGCGCACACAAACCAGCAGGGAAGATCTCTTACCTCGGCCATTGTCATCTAGTCGGATGTTTCCAAGGAGACCGGTGAGTTTGCCATTCCCCGCGAGTCCCACAAAACAACTGCCTCCAACTCTCCCGTCCGCGCGGATACTAACGCAAAAGAGCCATCGCGCCCGGCAGCATCTCCTCCAACAGCACGGACACACATGCACTCTGTCGTCACACACACACGCACACACACACACTGAAACACCACACCACCAAAAAAAGAGAAGTAGTAGTCACTGTGCTTTTACTCTCATGGCACAGATGCAGACACACACACACACACACACACACGCACCTCCTCTGCTTTCTCCCCTCTAATGTTGCCGTGGACTGGCTCTAAACTACTCAAGATGTTCAGTGTGTGTGTGTGTGTGTGTGTGTGTGTGTTGAAACTGGGCACAGGGGATTGGAATGAGATCCTCCCACTCTGCATTCTCACCTCAGGAGCTGCCTGCTCCCTCCCTAGCCTGCACACACACACACACACACACACACACACACACACACACACACACACACACACACACACACACACCTTTCATGCGCGCACACACACACACACACACACACACACGTGTGCGCGTCTCTACCCCCTCGGAGTCACAGGGCAGTCCCCTCACAGCTGGCTGGAAGAGGGCATGACACTCATCTTTCACAGAGATTTGATCAAAAGGAATCACAAAGGCTGGAGGCTCTCCTAATGCAGTCAGGGGAGACTCTGCCTCGATCCCCTCGCTCGCTCGCTCCCTGTCTGAGTAATGCCCTAAATCAACGTTGCCCCTCTTGGTGCACACAGCCCAGTGTGTGTGTGTGTGTGTGTGTGTGTCTGGATTCACCTTAACACTGCTCTGTGAACAGCCTCCATAACAAGTTATGCCTTGTGCCGTCAGGAATGTGTCAGTGTGGAGTGGTCGTCCGGAGGAGGGGGACTTCACACATGACAAAAAAAAAACATGTCTTTAGGAATACGTGGATTCCCGCTGCAGGTATCGAAACACACGACATGTGTCCAGTGTATCAGAGTTTGGAAAAGTGTTTACTAAAGTGTGAATATCACTTTGGGACCTTTGTTAAGATTAAAACAGATGGCTTGGTGGTTATTCTGTATTTCTATGTGTTAAACGATAAGATACTCAGGTGCTTATTGGCGCTGACGTACAAAATGACGGATGCTGTCAATCGTGTGGAACAAGTCACGTCATGGGATGGAGACTGTCGATTGTACACTTGTTCAGGTGAGGGTTCAAATGTTTCAGTTACTTCTCAATGGACACAGATACATTTGAGATGTGTTGAACGTGTCAGGTCTGAACCTACATGATGAGCCACAGTTTCTCTGCCGGGTTCAGCGACAAACTGTTGTTTGTATTATTCATCAATCTGCCAGTTATTTTCTGTCCTTGTTTGTTTGTTTAATTGGTGGCTAGTTTTGTGATGAAGGGGAAGGTTTGTGTCACTTTAACTAGACCAAATATGGTCATCTTAACACAATGACCGGACAGTCTATTGATTATTATTGGTCCTCAATCATTCTTAATCAATTAATTCGTCAATGGTTACTGCATCTTTAATAACCACAGGTTGAATGTCGACGTAGATTTTCGAGTTCAGATGTGTTAATTAACACCACTGAACAAGTGGAAAAAGACTGCAACTAAATCCCTTTTTTTCCCCTTGGAATGATACGGTAATATTCAATATATGGTGATTACTACGCAGGATGAATGAAGCTCAACGAGGGGTACAGTCGTGGTTTTCAACCGTCATTTGTCTTCCCACTTCTTCCTCCCCCTCCGTGGCAGAGTGAAAGCTCTGATGATTTTAGCCATTAGAGGCATCTGCTAATCCACAAATTACACAGCAAGTTTAAACAGGTACACCTGGTGTGCTCCACCTGTGGCAGCTTAAGGGAGGAAGGGGGGAGGGGGGAGGGGGGTGCCAGGTTGAGACACACTTTAAAGGGTTCAGTAGAGTTACAGAAGTGGACCAAAAAAGACTTCTCCTCCTTCCTGTTGAACCTTCTGACTATCAGCGGAGCGGCTGTCCTTGTTTGGGGACGTTGCAGGGCTGCAGCGGCAAAGGAAGTCCGGCAACGTACAAACCCTCTCTGCTCACAGACGTTTCAAAATAAACTCCTTTTTCACACTAAACTTCTGTTATGTCAAGAGCATTATAGTAGTTTAGCGAGTAGCGTTTCCCTGGGCGAAAGATCGCCGTTTGGTTCATTCACAATGACGTGGAAACCCGTGCTGATGCACAGGAGAACGCGGCTTGTGCCTCGTGTGATGCCATAATGAGTCACCATTGTTGCGTAGCTTGCGTACTTAACTAACGCCGCCTACGTGACTTACGTAACCAACAAACCTAATTTAGCCCAAAACGATCTCCTCCCGCGCTGCAGGGGCTCTGATCACTGCTGCTGGACATGTACTGACACAATGGGCGGGTAACCCGTAAGGTAACTGAGCTAGGGCGGGCGTGAGTGTTACACCTCCACTTGAGACCCCCCCCCATTTTTCCCAGTGCGGATCTCAACCTGACAACCCTCCAATCAAAAAGCCGCCTCTCCAACCTCTAGGCCGGCCGCATTTCCTGCCCCAGCATTCAGAGATTTGCGGAGCAGCCTTCGCTAACTGACAAAAATGCCACTAATGGCCCTTGAAGTTGAACGTTAAAACTGCATCACTTTCCGCGGGAGATCAAAGCTGTTCTTATTTGTGAAAAGCCCCAAAATGTTACGAGGTTACACGTATGGATGAGATGCAACCCGTCGGGGCATGTAATGCTGGGTTGGAAAGCCCTCCACTCCCCTGCGGCCGTCCAGGCAAGTAGATCTGCTTACCGGGCCTTGTATTTATTCCATACCTAAGGGATGCATACCAAGTACAGCCCCAGACCTGGCCCGGATTAGGTCTGCACGGCTTGTCAGATCGCTGCTCCCTCGGCTGGAGCGCAGCAGACGGATTCGCACCCCGGGGGTCGAGCGTGGAAGCCGCAGCTAAAACCACAGCAAATAAACTCCATGTGCAGAACAGGTCACGCTGCCTACTTACATGTCTGTCATTAGCCTTCCTGCAGGGAAGAGCCAAACGGGCTTGAGTATTTCAGCAGATGAGCAGTTCTGGCAGAGTTACAAACTATTTCACACTTCCTATATTCGATGAAGCCAAGCGAAGCGCTTCTCGTGCCGACAGTTGCACTTTGTCAGTGGAGTTGTTCTTGGGTTTGACGATGCGTTTAGCTCATTTAGGTGCGTTCATATCAGATGTGCGACCTACTTACCTGACCTACCTGATTTAAGGACACGCCTAGATTTATTTCTTGGCTTTCAATTCGTGATGAAAATGCTGTTAAAGCCCTGAAGGGATTTAAAATGCGCTTGGTCTTAAATCACTGCTTCAGTTGCTCCGGGCACCAAACAAACAGGAGACAGCGCTGTCCTTTGCGTAACCAAGACTTATTTGACCTCACTTGGTGCAAACATTACAAATGCTCATAACAACATACGTTAACTTGACTCCATTGTGTTTGAAACTTTTGAACTGATTCTAAGTCGATTTCTCTGTAGAAAGTCTGTTTATTTCAAAAATACACTACACATGATGATAAGTGAGTCAGAATGGGGTCAATAGAACAATGGGGGGGGGGGGCATTTTGATCAAATATGTTGATATCTTTGTTAATATGATCTAATATGTTGCATAGGTGAAACACATCTTCACAACATCTCTGAACCAGCGCTGACATCTCTATGTCTTGTTTTGAAGTCTACAAATAAATATTAAGCAAAGCCAAGCAGACAATAATTACCTTGTAGAAGCCGTAACAACAAGTTATTCTAGAAAAACGTTTAAGATGTAAATGTATGTCTCAAATGTATGTCGTAAATGCATGTTTCATGCATGTATTGGACATGCATGAAAATGACAAGAGATATTGCTCATTAATTTGTTAAGGAAATGTACTAATTCTCATTCTATAAACACTGTTTGCTATTGCTTCAAATAAGTGCCTCTTATTGATATAAAAGTAGTGCCTTGTACCTTCGGTTGGCTTTGTTTTAAAGTGAACTGGCTGGTAACTCTCCCCCTGCTGACTATCTTATCGTGCAGAAACTGCACAAGAAGGGGAGCGTTTTTTTCTGTGTGTGTGTGTGTGTGTGTGCATGTGTGCGTGCGTCTATGTGCATGCCACGTGTTGTCTAAGTGTCGGCCTGCCTTTTCTCACTTTAGTTGACCTTAAAAAAGGCCAAAAGAGGAGCTATTATCTCCCCGCTGCCTGCAAACTGTCCGTACCAGGCTCCAGCCACCACGGCAAATGGCCCCAGGTTTACCTGTCGTTCCACGCCATTATTCATTAGAGACCCTCTCACTGGGTCACTGGAAATCACAAAGAGAGCAGAGAGACTGCTTTAAATTGGGAGGAGAGGAAATCTATAGCGGGGAAAAGATCTCGACATGCGACGGGGCTTTTGACAGCCTGAATATCACAATTGCGTATTACGACATTTCAGGATTCATTTGTTTCCCCCGTGCTGGTGTGTGTTAGGCAGCCACGCAGCAGTCGGTGCGCGATTATGTGTGAAGGAGATGGAAAAACGATGGAACAAGAAAAAGTGAGGAGGGCGCTCTCACCGTGCAGCATGAGAGGAGGTCAAGGCTGCTCGTGTGTGGGAGGTGCGGGGCTTCATACAATTTTTGTTTTATATAAAACAGCATTAGTGATAGCAGAGCTGTCCGCTGAGTGCACTTCCCATGCTAAAAGAAGAGCACGGGATATTAGAGCTTACTATGAATATATTCTTCTCTCTTTAGTTGGCAGGCAAAGCAGAAGACACAAGGTAATTGGGAGCGATACTAATGGTACCAAGCTCAGTAGACATATGGCAAATAGTACACAAAGAAATGCTGAACAAGGTTGGTGGATATCAGCTTTAATGACTGGTTACACACATGGAATCCTCATTTATCTCTATCTTTGCTAGCCAGAGTTTCAATTACACTCTAATTTCTGGAGGGAGCCTTAACTTCAGGGCTGGTGGTGGGATAGTGACCCCCAACATGGTTTGTTACAGAGGACCATTTAAGAAGACGTCATTGGAAAAGGTCTGTAACATTAGATGAACGATATACTCTGTTCAAAGACCTTTTTTCCACGGAGAAAACCTTCTGTGGTTTTTTGGCTCTTCTATCAATAATGAAATACTTTCCAGTTGAGATTTAACTTGTGATATTGCAACACCTACGCCGACCTGTGATGAAGGAACATCTGTGTGTCCTCACACACACACAGAGATATAGGTAGTCTCTTTGACGTCAAACACAGGTTTCTGAATAGACGTTGTGAAGTGCAAAGTAGGAGACTCTGGCC